GTTTTCTAGATGTTTGCTATTAGGTTTACGGTTATGGGGCTAAAATGTTTGGAATTTTAAAACATTGTTTAAAAGATTGCATATCAATTTTATAACATTTTTCAACAAATTACCCGAGAAAACCCAGGGCGAATTGGGCTAACTTAAACGTTAATAACTTTTTTATTTTAAATGTAACTCCGGTATGTTTTTACCCAATCAAATAGCAAATTAAATAAGATTTCGATTAATGTAATTATTTCCTATACCTAAAATTAATAATTTCAGAGATATTTAACAATTTCTAAAATTTTAAATATTATTTTGTATCAAGAAACCTGTGACGGGTGAGTTGACGGTATCTGTGGTTACCACGTAATCTGTCATTGTTTAAAATTTAATGGCGTCAATTTTTCAGATTGTTATAAACAATTTGTTGACTAATTAAATGTTTTGTAAAGAAAATTACTCATAAAAAGCAGTCAGTGAATTTAAAAAACATTGACAAGGCAAACGTTTTTAAAATTTAAAAGTAATACGAACAGTATTTGTTAATTTAAAAAAAAAATCAACAAAGCTGTAGAATGTCAACTAGGTGAAGCACTAGCTCATTGGAGACAATAAAATATAAATTTTATTTTATGAAACATTTTAATAACAAATATAATGCGTAACAATTTAATAAACCAACAATTTTTATTACTAATTTCTGTGGGTAAAAGGCATAACGGGATATGAGTATGAGTATAAGAGACGTATAACCAGCCCCATTTCCTCTTGACTCTCGAACCCCGTACAGGCCTATGTTTACTTACGCCGATTTTTGTTCTTCCCCAGCAACTGCACGGCTTCACCCGTGTTTGCTGGGTGCGAATGTCCATTGCGTTCCGTACTGTCCCCTATTTGGGGCTCGAGAGCGAGAGGCGAATAGTTTTAATAGCCATTCCCGGGTTCGCCGAGCCTATGCTATACGCTCAGTGGGGTATGGAGGAGGGACGGAAGGGTGTTGGTTTTTGGGGGACAATTACGCCGACTTAAAACTAAGTACGACGCGGAATCCCCCTAGACCAGTCGATTAGTATTACTCCAAACATTTGGGATTACTATTTGGAGTTGGGGAGTAATCCCAAATGTTTGGAGTAATACTTTCTCTTAATTCTTACTTCTACATTAGACGTTGCTCTTCTTGACTATTCTGTGCTTATGGGTCTAATATTAATTAATTAATCTATATTAATTTTTAAATATCTCTACAATTATTAAATTTATTTAAAGGGAATAATTACATCAATCGAAATGTCATTTAATTTTTTATTTATGTAAAAACATACAGGGTGTTTTATTTAAAATAAAAAAGTTATTAACGTTTCAAGTTAGCCTAATTTGCCCTGGATTTTCTTGGGTAAAAAATGTTGAAATTGAAATGGAATTTTTGATTGACGCGCATTTGTCATATTTTAACGGATAAATTAATAACTAGAAAACTATTCACTTTAGGTATAGGACATGGTACAATAATTTTACTCAAAATGTTATGTAGAATTTAAAAATGTAAAAATATATGGGGTGGTCTATAAATATATATAGTTGATGTCAAACCGGACGGCCTATTTTAGAAAAGTAGGCTCAATTTAAAAATTTCAAATCGATATCTTTTTCCTCAGAAACTCTCAATGGACCATGAACACCCGTATTTAGTAAATGTGCAACACCCTATATAAATATAAATAAATAATTTAAATGATTGTCCATTTATTCAGTTAATCAATTTTTAATAAAAATATACAGCCTGGTTGTTATATTATGTGCCGAATAGCGTGGATAACATTTTATTGGATCGCACAAAAAAATGACGTAATCTGAAAAAACGCCAAGAGATGGGTAGGTATCATTTTTTAAAGTCTATTTTCAAAATCAATAGAAATTTTTCATGGGAGAGAAAAAAATCAAATTTTGTTGTACTGTGTAATATATGACTTGAGTAGTTAATAAATATTGATTAAATAATAAAATTTTGTATTATTTAAAAGTTTATAGAAAAGTCTCAATTGTCTTACAGGTTACTCAGAATCGGCCCATAACTTGGTTTTTGAATATATATTTTAAATTTTAATTTATAAGTTTAATACTTATTTTTTAAAGGTAATATTAATATACAAGGTGCACTAACGCTACACCACGTGATACAAATATTATGATAAGTAGTTTCCAAATTATTGGGCATTTAAGTTTTAAAAAACTTGGCAATATTGTTTGCATGATGATTCATTACTGATGAACCGTCCAAAAATGGTTGTAAGAAAACAATTTAAATAGGGCCGCTGATGTTGACATGGTTGACAGATGGATTTTATGAGAGTTTGTGTCAAATATTTGTTAAAAAAAATTGAATTTTTTACAGTTAAAAGTCATTATCGGGTCTCCCTGTATTAAAAATTTTATATATAGAAAATTATTTTGAGTTATAAAGGTTTGAAAATTAAATTTAATTTTTGTAACTTTTTTTTATACCTTCAATATACCTGCAATTTTCCCCTACAGTGTGGCATAACGTTAGTGTTTTCGGGACACCCTGTAGTCTTAAAATAAATTTGAACCTTATAAAAAAATACATTTTAGAAATTGTTTTGTTTAAAATAACCTCTATGGCTTTTCGGAACGCTCTTTCTGTATATTAACTCTCTTGAGTATTTTCATAAATATTATATTATATTATATATTATTTTTGTCGAGTGGTTAATAGTGAGCCGATTGTATTCGCAATTGTTATTATTTAATGACATTTATTTTTTCCGCTGTGAAAAATCTTATTCCTTCACCTGTATATATTTTTATTTCCTCCCGGTTATCAGGTAAGAAATGTCTCATTTCCTCCCGCGTTAAATTGTACCGTCTGAGAAAGTAGGTGTTTCTACGACTGCCTTGTAAAACAATGGCTAGGCAGAAAATATACACTATTTTCTAAAAGCATGCAAAAAGTTGCACTTTTCCGCACGCTTACTTTTCGCACGCTAAAAATGAAAAGAAAATTGCGACATTCCATTGCTTGTGGAAAAAAAATATTGTACCCAGCAAGCGCAAAAAGGGTCTTTCCGCACTCAATGGATGACCAAACATCAGTTTCTATGGTTAATGACGCGCCAAATCGTATATGTGTATAAGTGTACCAGGTGAAAAAAATTTTGTCACCGATTTTGTTTAAACTTTACTTATTTGTTGTTCTTATAACGAAGAATCATAGCATAAAATTTTTTTGCTCTAGGATTGTTCATTCAAGAGTTATGGATTATTGAAATTTATCGATTTTTTACTTTTTGGTGAAATCGCTTTTTATTTAAAAATTCATAACTTCTGTTCATCTCTTTATTAAATATTTCAATTTAACCACCTTAAATGATTTTTTCCGTACTTTTCAATGGGCTATACCGTTTTTGCAAAAAAATAAAAATTGCAATTTTTTTTTGAAATTTTGCAAAATTTTGCATTTTTTGAAACATTGTGTATTTTTTAATTTTTTTTAAAATAGCATAAAATCCAAGTTTATTATGTTACCTTTGAATAAAAAAAAAATTTAGAGTGGGCCCGACATGTAGAAGGGAAGTTTTTCATATTTGAATGCCGCACGGTCTACCCATCGAATAGCTACTACACTGCCGTATGCGTTTATACCTAGTAGATGCGAGTAAACGAATACAAAATGATAATTTAAAATGTAAAATTATGTTTGAGTATACTGATAGTACATTGACTATAGTCAATGATGTATTTTAAATATTTACACTGCCGCACGATATAGTTTTTAACTGTATTTTTTTGCACAAATTGTTTAAGCATGGGTCTACATAGATTTCGCAAGGAGGATCGATGATATTAAATAAAAAATTTATTGTTATAACCGTAACGGCTTGCCTATAAGCTTTACGGTTATAACAATACATTTTTTATTTAATATCATCGACCCTCCTTGCGAAATCTATGTAGACCCATGCTTAAACAATTTGTGCAAAAAAATACAGTTTATATACAAAAGTGCTCTTTTAGTTCCACCCTTACTTCTTAAGAAGTCCCATAAGCCAACTGAATGACTTGTGCGGGTTAGGGGTAGGAACGGACCGCGGGCTTAAAGTCCCCTCCGAAGGACTAATATACAATAAAAAAACTATATCGTGCGGCAGTGTAAATATTTAAAATACATTATTGACTACTCAAACATAATTTTACATTTTAAATTATCATTTTGTATTCGTTTACTCGCATCTACTAGGTTTAAACGCATAAGGCAGTGTAGTAGCTATTCGATGGCTAGACCCGCACGCATTCAAATATGAAAAACTTCCCTTCTACATGTCGGGCCCACTCTAAATTTTTTTTTTATTCAAAGGTAACATAATAAACTTGGATTTTAGGCTATTTTAAAAAAAATTAAAAAATACACATTGTTTCAAAAAATGCAAAATTTTGCAAAATTTCAAAAAAAAATTGCAATTTTTATTTTTTTGCAAAAACGGTATAGCCCATTGAAAAGTACGGAAAAAATCATTTAAGGTGGTTAAATTGAAATATTTAATAAAGAGATGAACAGAAGTTATGAATTGTTAAATAAAAAGCGATTTCACCAAAAAGTAAAAAATCGATAAATTTCAATAATCCATAACTCTTGAATGAACAATCCTAGAGCAAAAAAATTTTATGCTATGATTCTTCGTTATAAGAACAACAAATAAGTAAAGTTTAAACAAAATCGGTGACAAAATTTTTTTCACCTGGTACACTTGGCAAATTTTGCCCCATATGACACACATATAAAAATAAAATTATTTTAAATGTCATGATGAGTAGGAAAATAAGAAAAATAAAATGTAAACCTCAGCGGTAAAGTAATTTTTCCGGGCTTTAAGAAGTGTCTTCTATCAGCCTCGAAAAATGTCCCTTCCTCCTAGGTCTCAATGGAAGGAACTATTTATGCAGGTAGGTAATGATCTATTCAGTCAAAAATCGTTATTTTGATATTTAAAATTAAAACAATTCCTATTATTTTCATTGCTTTTTTATTACTATTCTTTTTTTATAAATAAAAAAATATAAAGGCACTTGTCCGTATATGCGTTAGCGGGGTTGTCTCCTGTTAAAAAAATTAATATTGCCTTCCCTTTGAGGCCAATCTTTGAGCGATAATTTGTTGCCAGATTGCGCTCCTCAAACCACCATAAACTGGATATTGTTGTCCATAAACTGGATATTGTTGTCCGTAAACTGGATATTGTTGTCCGTAAACTGGATATTGTTGTCCATAAACTGGACCTTGCTTTCCATAAACTGGATATTGTTGTCCATAGATTGGATCTTGTTGTCTATATACTGGAGTTTGTTGTCCAATAACTGGAACTTGTCCAAAAACTGGGTATTGTTGTCTAACAATTGGTACTTGTTGTCTAAGTAATGGAGTTTGCTGTTCAATAACTGGATACTGTTGTTCAAAAATTGGTCGTTGTTGTCCAAATAATGGAATCTGTGACCCAACTACTCCTTGCTGTCCAATAACTCCTTGAGCTCTTAATTGGTTTAATTCGTAGCTTACCAAGGGTAAAAGTGCAGGTCCCTGTTGAATTAACAATTGTTTTAGAGCCACTTTTTCTGGCAATGGGATGCTTTGGTAGTAGATTCTCGCGATTACTTGTCCCAATTGGCCGCCCAAAACATTTTCGGAGATAAGAAAAGCTTCTTGTGTTGGAATTCCTTGTTGGATCAATAACTGGACGAGTTGCTCGATAGTTTGCCATTGTTGACCAAAGATCAAGTCGGCGATAAGGAAAGCTTGTTGTGGAGCGATTCCTTGGTTTTCCAAGAGTTGGACGAGTTGGATCAAATATTGTAGTTGTGGGGTAATTTGGCGTCCAACCACGCTGCCGAGCTGCAATTGTTGGATGTACTGCTGGAGTTGTTGTCGGATGTATTGTTGGGTTTGTTGAGAGTATACGCCGCTGAAAAGTTTTTCGACGACGAAGACGGCTTGTTGTTGGGTAAGGTTGCCTTGTTGGACCAATTGTTGGATGACTTGTTGTGGGACGATGTTTTCTTCAAGACCAAAAACTTGTTCGATAAGTAAGACGGCTTGTTGTGGTGGAAGGCCTTGCACTACCAACTGTTGAACCAATTGTAGTTGGATTTGTCGCTTGATGATGACTTGTCCTTGCTCTCCAATGACTTCCTCAGCGATCACAAGAGACTGCTGCGGAGAGACGCCCTGGCTTTCCAAAAGATCGACCAATTGTTGTTGTAGAATTTGGAAAACGCCTTGCCATTGCTGACCCACTACGCCGCTGGGTTGTAATACTTCTCTGCTGGGGTTTTTGCCACCAGGACCTCTCAAAGAGAGACCGTTGGTGAGGGCAACCAAAACGAGAATGGCAAAGTAGGTTTTCATCTTCAGACAACAGGGAACTGAATGTGCTCTCCAAGAAACGCAATACACTTTTTATACTGCATTTTTATCGGTAATTGTTTGTTTTTTAACCCCTTATAATTCAATTAATTAATAATAAAGTTAATTAAAACATATCTGTGCCAGACGATAAATTGCAATATTATTTAGGGTACACACTGAATGATGATGAAATTTGCATTCATTATTTCTCTATTGTATACATCTATACATTTAAGAATGTAAATAATTTGCACTATTGATATAGCAAATTTATTTGTTTTGTGCCTGGAAATCTATAGTCCGTAAGTATAAAAATAGACGAAAAACCAATAAAAATATTTCTCGTCGAAAGAATGATGGAAAATGTATACATTTTTAAAATATGTGGTATAAAAACATAACCTAAAACTTACCTCCTACGTCTAATGTTCAGTCTACTGTTTAGCAATTTGTTAAACATATCCATTAGTTGTCTAAGCACTTAATTTATATTTCTAGGCACAACGTTTTATTGTGGTTTTTATTGCATTTTCCAGTGCGAGAAAAATCGATACTTTTCCCCCGCATCGACCGCGTGGGCAACACGCGCCAAATTTCGGTCAAGGCATCGAAAATTCGGTTTTACACACCTGTTAAGTTAGGTTTGCTATTTCTAAGGTCGGTTTTTTCACCCCCCGAATATTTTATGCGTAAGCCAAACACGTCTCACGAATGCTCCGCCGCATATAGGGTTAGAGACGCCGGCGACGGCTGGCGTTGCGACGCCGATGCAGCGTTGCCAAGTCTAGTGAAAAATCTTAGAAGTTCGGAAAAATCATAAAACGTTCATGAGAAGTCATCATTCTGTTTTTTATTATTTTTTTTTTAGTTTTAATGCAGATATTGAGGTTTTTTAGAGTGTTAATCGATATTTTAAGGTGGACTTCGGTGTAAATAATGCAAATGTGGCAACGCTGCAGGTGTCTTTTAAAAGTGTGGGGGCGTCGCAGAGCGATTCGCTATTGTTTTTCGCACGTTAAAGCTCTAAAGACAGTTTGCAGTGCCAAAAACGTACGATTTTAGACAGTTTGGTTTAATGAGAAGTTTCTTATTTATATAGATATATTACCGTATGTTTAGTTTTTCAGCATTTTAAATGTTAAAAGAAAAAATCTTTAACTTTTAATTTTATCCAAAACTACATATAGATATATTACCGTATGTTTAGTTTTTCAGCATTTTAAATGTTAAAAGAAAAAATCTTTAACTTTTAATTTTATCCAAAACTTAGGTTAAAAATAATAATAAACAAGAAAAAAATCACAAGAAAGCATTACAAAAATTCAAAACATTTTTTTGATAAAAACGAAAAATATATAAAAATAAATCATTATCAATAATTGATAATGATTTATTTTTATTTTTATATATTTTTTTGCGCACGCGCTCTTGCACATGTAAAAGACACCTGCTATTGGCTATTTTCGTTCTACCAAAATTTGTGTAGTGCGAAAAAAATATTGAGACTGATTTGTTGTCGTTACAATATTCGCATGAATTTTTGCAAAGGCGATTCTTAAAAATTACAGGGACTGTATGAAATTTATTTCTTCATTCGGATTATTGGAAAACCGGTAAAAACTGAACCCAGGATTTCCTCTCGAAATACACCCAACAACACAACAAATCGTGCAACGGTTTTTTTTCGATCTTTATTTAACATTTTTCGGCTTTATTCTCAAAAACACTCGTTTGTAACATAAGCGTTTGACAGCCGATTATTAAAAGTTGTACTTTTGTTACGATGATAACAGCCGAATGGTGGCGCTACTAGCGATACTTCTTTAGCGTATAGGCACATTTCCGTTGCAACACTATTTTTTTTAACTCGAAAAACACATTTTGTTTAGTAAGTTTTAAATTGTTTTTATTTCTTCTTAAAATTTTATATTTTTAAATTAAACAATATTTTTATTTTTTAACTAGTTTTATCTACATTATATAACTACCTATATAAAAATAAAATAAACAATAAAAAATATGTAAGTAATTGAAATTTTTTGATTTAATGTTTTTTTTAAATATTTATTAAATTTCTTATGTATTTATATTATTTTCATGCCCTCTAAAAATTTTATATTCTAAAATTATGCTTTTTATATTTTGTGGGTATTACTTTTGTAACTTATGTAACTTAAGCAAGACATTTCGCACATGTACACAAAAACATTGATTTTTACGCAAACCAGGTCATGACAAATTTTTCTATAGACCAAAAAGAAAATCCCGCATTATTTTTTATGTTTTCACGGTCAGTTTTTCACGAAATAAATCCCAAAAACGTATTTGTATTTAATACGACAGAAACCGGGAAACGCAAAAGTTCAATCAGAACAAAATAATTCCTTGTAATTAATGGTCACGCAATAATGGAATATTTTATGATGTCAAGGGTGAAAAATATTAGACTTATTTCAATAAGATTTCAATTAAGAATGGTTAAACTCTTAAAATACATATTTGTCTATATTATCAGATGCAGACCCCGCGCGCATCAAGGCGTGACAAAATAATATCTGATCATTGCCAGAGATAATATCTTTAGTAGGTATCGTCATCTATTATCATTCAGTCCAATGTTGCTAAATGTGTATTTGAAGATGCCTGTATCCGTTTAAAACAATTATTATTACGCCGGGAAGAGTTTTTCAAAATTAAAATTAATAAAAAAATATTTAAGATCAAGAAGGTATGTGCCAAGAACAACTAGTGGGTTTGGCTATATTGTCAATAGAGAAGGATGTTGGAAAAGAGCTTCCGCTAAAGCAGGGAAAAATTATCTGTGATTTATTCTTAAACGTTAATTTCTATATTAATTAAAGGGACCACCCAAGTGCATTTTTAAGTCAAAATTTTCTACTATTCGGTAACACGCTTAAAAAATGTTGACTTAAAAATGCATTTGGGCGGTTTCAGCTCTAACCCCTTCAATTGGATTTTCGTTTGATGATTTATTGGTTTATTGCCGCTAAGCGCTATGTTAACTTTCAAGAGTAAATTTTTAGTTCAAGCCCCGCATTTTTATTTTGCACCTGGCCTCTAATAAGCTACCGGCGCGCCGGCCCTAGAAGTCCTTTAGTTTTGTTTAGGAACTAATTTAGCTATTTGTATGTAGGTAAGCCGCAGACTATCGTTTTAAAGAGTCGAAAAAAAAACGGTAAAAAATTGGGGAAACCCCTACTTTAATAGAAGGTGCATTTTTTACGCTATTTATAAATAAATACTTTATTTTTACTTGGTTCAAATTTTTTTTAAATCCAATTTTTCCAAAAATGAAATTTTTTCCACACGTTGCAGTTTTGAAATCACAAATTAGGTTTTTTTCTAGCCTTTAATACATCACAAGCATTTTAAACGGAAAAATTTGCAGAAAAATTGACTGCATTTTTTTCGCATTATAAGTAAGTACAGTTGTATTCAATAAAAAAGCGTACAAGAATTAGAATGAGAGAAAACGTGTCAAAATAATATTATTGCTTAAAACCGGCTTATCACTGACATAAGTCATTAAAATAATTACTATAGGTTATAAAGAGCATTGACGTCCTAGGTTAATTAAATAATATTACAAAAATTATTAATTTTTAATATAGATTTTTTATTTCTATTACACCACGGTACGAATTGACCATTCTTCTTCGATTCTTGATACTATTTGAGCCTTTTAAACTGACGAGGCATTTTTATTTTCTACTGTCAGTTATAGTGACTTAAGTCAGTGGAAAGCCGGTTTTACGCAATAATGTTGACAGTTTTCTCTCATTCTAATTCTTGTACGCTTTTTTAATGAATACAACTGTAATACCAGTTTTACTATTAATGCAAAATTCAGGTTTTGTGCAAATTTTTCATTTTTTTCGTTTAAAATGCCTTTGATGTAAAGGCTGCGAAATACATTTATGCAAAAATCAATTTTCTTAAAATTGGAAAAAATTTCCTATTTGTACTACGGATAATAAGGATAAGTGCAGAAGTCAATTTTATTGAAAATTTCCGAATTTATCCGGGTATTTTCGAAAAACAACGGGTTTTTTTCGCCAGCTCAATTCTTCCGGAAATTTTAAAACACTACCGCGGGAATTTGTCCCGTCGCCCCCCGTCCTTACACATTTAAGTCCCACTATGTGACTTTCATAGAAATAATTAAGGTTCGACGAAATTAGCTTGACACTGACAGAAAATGATTTCTATTTAAGTCACGTGGTAGGAATTTGATGTGTAATACAGAAAACAAATTTAATTAAAAATAACCCCAACAATTTTAAGGAAAGTTTTATATCGGAGAAATGTTAGCGTTTAACATAAAACTTCGATAAACTATTTTATTACGTAACCGAAAAACTTCACAAAGTATGCTTCCAAATTTCAGAATTCCGCTTAAACTCAAAACATACATATATGCTTGTGTTTATTAGATATATGACCCGAAACTAGTAAATAATGGTGCATTAAAAACGTTCTTAAAATAATAAACTAATAACTCAGGAGATAAAAATTAATTATGGTAAGGTCGTAATCCCCATTCGCTAATCACACGTAAACAAAATGCAAAAAATAATTATATAAATTGGATAACGAATTAATTGCACTTTGAGAATAAATTTAATTATTAAAAATGCCAAATAACATTATAATAAATATGCAGAGGAACATACAAAAACTGCTCGAATTTTATGAAAGATAAAAATTTTATGATTTTATGGAAAAAAATAGGTGCACATAGGCAAGAATTAAAAATTATTATAGTAAAAATTACTTACAGTAATATACCCATGTTAAATAATAAAAATAAAAAAGTCACGCAAACTTTGTAAAAAAAAACAATTTGTGGGTGTCAAACATACAAAATTTGTAATAAAAATCCTTATCAACTTAGGTAAACAAATGTGTATCATTACTTAAATAAATTAGTACCTATCATTATAAAAGAAAACAAAATTATAAAAAACCTAATGTTATTTCAGCGTAAATTTTTAACACTATATAAAGGAAACCCCAAAAATATTAAAAGTATTTTACCGGTTTATTTTACCTTCTGCTATTTTAAGTAATATTTAATTTAAATTTAATCATGCTTTCTATGATTCTAATATTTTTAAATGATAGTAAGTTTATTTTTAGCAAATGGTTATTTGGGGGCAGGTTATTTTTTTCCACACTCAATGTTATCTGCTTAAATATGGAAATTTGTACATATAAAATTTCCCTTAGGGGGTAACATTGCTATAAATTTGAAAGTTCTTGTCAAAAAATGTGTTTAATTAATTTTCACAAAATATACTAAAAAAAACGCAATTTTTATTTTTGATATTTACCATTTAAAACGTATATTTTCGAATGGAGTCAATAAAAATTGGAAATTCAGGCTGGGCTAAAGCATAGGTGTAATAAATAATTATTACGAAGTCAATTTAACAATAATTAATAAACTGCGGCTGAATGACCTCGGTCCTTTTTATTGCAGTTTTTTATTATTAATAATATATTGTTATTGTACTTATGTTATTTTTAACGTAAAGTTTGTTTTTTGTTAAAAAAAGTTAAAAGAACTTTGTTGTAAATAGACTTGTAAAGTACTTTGTACAAAATGTAAATAGACACCCAGCGTATCAAAAAGCTTTAATTAACTATTTATAAAAAAACTGTGCTTTTTGTATAAATATAAATAAATAAATAACATACCTAGGGGTGGGAAGCTGACTTTGGGTGAAAGGTGAGTCATTGGCATCAAAAAAGTCATCTTCCCCTTCTGAACTAGAGTAGGACATATCAGGTACAACCAACGATGTGCTTGCAGCTAGAAAAAAAATAAAAAAATGCATTTTTTTGTATTGTCCTATTCAACATACTATATTTAAGTATCTAGGACCTTAAGAAATTAGCAACAGAAAACATACTTTACACAACACCCAAGTACTTTCTTAATGCTAAGGTCTTTTGTTACTTACTTTTGGTGGTCTTTCCATAAAAACAACGACTTTTAAAACTTAAAATCCTAGTTAATTTAGCAAATATACGTCCAAACTAACATCATAAAATTTTACTACAACAAATGTCAATTATCATTTACCTAAATTGCTGGCGTGTGAAAATACTGTATATGTCAGCAGTTTTATGTGTATGTGTTTTAAAATAAAACATAACAAAACCATGTTAGAATATTACAAGTATTATTATTAAATCGCTGTTTTCTACAAAACAAGATTTGTTTTGCAAAAATAAATGTTAGAAGATTTAATATAAACATTGCAGGTAAAAATTATATTTGTGACCACAATAGTTATTTACACACAACGCAGGGGCGAGTGTGTAATTTTCCAAGTGCGTAATGGCTTTAGCACTTGAGGTACACCACTGAAGTAGTATACAATAACAAAACATTTTCAAACTTTTTTAAATTTGACATTGACTTAATTTCGTTGTTAGTAATAAACCAAACAAGCAAACATTTCCTAGCACAACTATAGCAACTATTATAGTTAGGGAATTTAATGAGATTATGTTGTAGTTGCTATAATAGCATATAGCACACCTGTTTACGATTTTAATTGTAAACTGATGGCATCGTTTTTGTGTCCATTTCGTTTATATTTCTGAAATAATAAAAAATCGACGCGTTTTGTTATTCGATAACTTCAAATCGCATTTTTTTGCATTATTTATTTTTAGCCTACTAGATTTTGAGTTACCTTCATCATCTTTTGTTTTTTCTGTGGCCGCCATATAGGAATTTACATGGGTAGAAAAAAAATTAAAGAATCCAACTACAGTATTTAGAAATTATTTTTTGGCCAAAAGCCTTTTTTTATTCTTAATAAAGAAATTTTGATGTGGATATATTAAAAATAAATACTCTACAGAGGGCTCAACATTTTTTGTAAAATTAACCAAACAAAATTCTCAAGTTGTATATATGTGTATATATGAGAACGTCGTCGAGCTGTGGCATTATTGTGGTTTTTAAAACCTAACTTAACTAATATAGTGTGAAACTTTCGGGACACACTGTATAAAATGCTTATAAAAATTAACGTTAAGAAAAAATTTAAATTAACCTATTTACTTATAAAAAAACAGTATAAATAATATTTTTAGTGTGATTTCATAAAAAAAATGACCAAAACATTTAAATTAAGTAGGCTTGTTTTTAAAGCCAATGAAATGCTTTTAAATAAAACATGCAAAATAAACATCAAAAATTCAAATTAACTTATCACACTAAAAAAACGTAATACCTATTTGTAACCAAAACCTTCTAGACCAAGGCGATAAATTTTTTACAGTTTATACACATTAAATAAAAGGTAAATTAGGAGAAAAGATTTATTCCTCTGATGACCAAATTAAAAAAAAAACACATTAAATAAAAGGTAAATTAGGAGAAAATATTTATTCCTCTAATCTTAAAGAAAATTCTGACGAAAGATGGAACAAGGATTACTTTAAGAACAAAAGTAACGATTGGCTTAAAAGTTATTGAAGTAAATGATCATTTACGTCAATAACAAAATCCCTACTCCTTCGGTCGGCTCACATTTTGCTAAAAAAATAGAGAATTACCTGTAAGATATTTTGGAGATAAGGAATCTAAAGCCAGATATAAACTGTATAAAAATTATCGTCAATTTCACGATAGAAAAACCAGCCGACGTAATAATCTTGAAAATTTCATAAAATCCTTAGAGAAGGTGACACAAAAACAATAAAATCTCTACTAAAATTTATAAATAAAATAAAAATCAAATTTTAACAGTTTGCTCTTTAATGACCTTTTCACATTGGAGATCCTCCAAAAATAAAAACCTGTCCCTGGGTCCCATCCGAGGCAATATTCTGGGGTGTGTAAGACGCTCGGCAATTGCCCCTGAGTGTGAAAAGTCGATTCCTATGTTATGCTGTCCATACTAACCATGATTAAACAAAAAACATACACTTCAGTTCAAACTATTTAGCAATATCCAAAATAAAGCCCAACAGTGGGACTCCCACTTGAAGGTATGGATATATATCCAGATCCACTTGGAACAACCAAAACATAAACATAATGGGCTGGCCGAATAGTTTACTAATAAGGCAAAACAAAATTTTGAAAAAGAAGAATCTGGAAGATGTTTTCCATAGGGTTATGGATACCTCTGATCCAATTATTAATTTACAAAAAAGAAAGAACTAAATCATTCAGATTAAATTTAAAAAATGAATTTGAAACCATCGTAATTTATAATATAAAAAATATATAAATTATATATACAGGGTGACCCAGTGCTCTGTGATCGGTCCATATTTTTTTTGCTATTAAAGATATCGATATGAAATTTTTATAGAGAATATGATCCAACTAAACCTATTTTCCAAAATTATTTTGAACAAAATTCCATTTCCGGTTTTACCGGAAGTGACATCAACATTGTTATTTCAAATAAAATACCCTGTATATTTTTTGATTTTTAAATTTCATATGTAAATCCTGATAAAATTTCTATAACATTCCCTATACATAAACTCAATAGTTTTCAAGTTATTAATTTTTTTCGTAAAAATTTGACAGTTGCGCCTTCAACAAAAATAGCCTATAACTTCTTTGTTATTAGGTCTATTGGTATGCGGTTTGGAGTTTTTGAGTCTTAAAACATTGTTTTAAATATCCCGTGTCAAACTTTGCCATATTTCTAACCAATTACTTGATAAAAAATAATGTGAATTTGGCAAACTTTAAACGTTAATAACTTTCTTATTTTTAATGGAACGCTATGTATATTTTTGCAGAATTAAATTTCTTATTAAATTACCTTTTGATTGGTATAACCATTCCCTATACCTAAAGTTAATAATAACAAAGATATTTCACAATTTTGTAATAATTTAGGTATCAACACACCTGAGAAATCGACAAGCGAATGGCCGTATATTTGAGCATTTATTATAATTATTAATTAAGTATTTCGGTAAATTAAATTTTTTATTCTGATTTAACTGATTTTTGTGCTTCTATTATAACAATAAATAATAATACAATTCAACGAAAGAAATTATTAATAATTATGAATAAGCATTAATTTCTCTCTGTATAACGTTTAATTGTATTATTTAGAATAACTGGTCGATTATGTGATATGTACTCCTTTTTACCAAAATGATAATGTCACACTTGAAACAATTAAATTTTAAACAATTTTTGTTATTGGTATCCATGGATACGTCAAAATAACTCGCTTGTCGATTTCTCAGTTGTGTTGATACCTAAATTATTACAAAATTTTGAAATATCTTTGTTATTATTAACTTTAGGTATAGGGAATGGTTATACCAATCAAAAGGTAATTTAATAAGAAATTTAATTCGGCAAAAATATACATAGCGTTCCATTAAAAATAAGAAAGTTATTAACGTTTAAAGTTTGCCAAATTCACCCTAATTGTTATCAAGTAATTGGTTAGAAATATGGCAAAGTTTGACACGGGATATTTAAAACAATGTTTCAAGATTCCAAAAATCCCAACCGCATGCCAATAGACCTAATAACAAAGAAGTTATAGGCTATTTTTGTTGAAGGCGCAACTGTCAAATTTTTACGAAAAAAATTAATATCTCCAAAACTCTTGAGTTTAGGTATAGGGAATGTTATAGAAATTTTATCAGGAATTACATATGAAATTTAAAAATCAAAAAATATACAGGGTATTCTATTTGAAATAGCAATGTTGATGTCACTTCCGGTGAAACCGGAAGTAGAATTTTGTTCAAAATAATTTTGGAAAATAGGTTTAGTTCGATCATATCTTCTATAAAAATTTCATATCGATATCTTTAATATCAAAAAAAATATGGACCGATCACAGAGCACTGGGTCACCCTGTATATTATATAATATGTTCCTATAACATATAAAAAGTATGTCGAAATAATGTCCAATCATTTAAACTTAATTGAATTAGACATGGAACACTCGGTGGATTAGATATGGAAATAAAATATTTTGTATTTAAATTAATACATTTATTTTTGAATATACAGGCAACACCCCATTATTTTAGAACGCGTTGGCAGATTTTAATATATTTTTTTTGGCGCGGTGCTCGATGAAGTCTATTTGATCATGTGGAAAGTTTTAATTTTTCTTTTTTTTCAAGGCCTGCTAGGATCTGCTAAATGGTCGGAATTTAGATATCGACCGTTGGGAATTTTTCGAAAAAAAATGGATAGGGCATTTCATTTAGACGTGCCTCAAATAACTTTTTACAAACTTTGATCTTAATACCGTATCTATGTCACAGCATAGTTACATAAGTAATAGCGGCCATTATAAAAACAAAATACAGCAGCGAAGAAATATATTATCCAAAACAAAAATTTGATGAAATTGTACCATGTTTACATGTAAATATTACATTTTTTCAAAATTTCCAGGAATAACAAAGTTATAACAATTTTTGTTTTTGAGGTTTTTATTTTTTTTTAAATTTTAATAGGCTTGTTATTACGCAACTTTCTCTGATAATCAACCTTGTCGCTTTTTAAACAAAAAATTACCCATATGGATACTTGTGCACCCTGTATTAAATTTATATGTAAATCATTGAATGATTTTAAATTTAAATATTTAAAAGCGTACAATTAAAATTGCGAGGTCAAAATTTTAATACCAATTTTAAACCGATTTAATTGAGTCAATTAAGTTACGGCTCAGGATCAAAACACACGGAGAAACTAAAACAGTTGATGCGCAGAACAGTAATCCACTCAATGAACTATTAAAAATATTATTTATTGTGCAAAATATTGCTCACTTATAGTTCC